GAAAACTATAGGCTATTTAAATGAAATGTAGTTTTGAATTGGATGAAACTGAATTGGGATCACCGTGGCTATATTGATGAATGATAAAGATAACAGTAATTTGGTGTTATGTCACAAGTACAAGAATAGATTGGATTGAGTCACTTGTTAAGGAGATGATGGGAGGAGGGGACTACACATTAAGCACTAGCAATCTATAATGAAGCTAAACATCATTGACAACTCATTACCAGATCCTAAAAATGATTGAACGTGCATCTCATATAATCTGAGATGGAATCTTAAAAGGCTATGGAGTTATAGACATCTACAATTATAATATTTGTAGCATTTTGTTTTATTATTTGTTATACTATAATATGGATATTAACTTTATTATAAAATAGTGAGACATCCTTATTACCATTTAGTAAAAAAGTTTGTTTTGTTTAAATCCAATAAGGTAGTATTTTATTTAATCTATTTAATTATCTAATAAAAACCAACTTGCAATGGGTCATTTCCTTGATCTTTGGATTGAACATCACTCTTATAGCATAGAAGGAACCAAACCTAAGAAATTCTTGCATTATGTTTGATAGTTTATATGATGGCATATATAAGTGAAACTATTTAATATGAATAGTAATAAAACATCACCACATTCATCAAAACTTATTCTTCTAAATTTGATAACAGCATCACATTCATCAAAACCTATTCCTTCAAAGTTGATAACAGCTACTATAGGAGTTTCCATGTTTTCCAGGTAACTTTGTTAGGCATTGGTTGCACAATACTCACAAAACTGTTAACAATTTGAATTAAATGACAAAATAATGGCAAAATTAATAAATAGTATATCTTAAATTGGTTGCCCATTTCAATCATTCACTACTTGTTTTTTTCCACATCATTAATACGATACTCCTCTAGTACTCCAAATGATTTCATGGAGCCAATCACACCTGATCATAAGATAGGAGATTGGAAATGTAATTGGAACTGGGTTTTGATATTACTCACAGAAGGTACACTAAATGTCTCCCTAATATTAGTGACTAATCTATCCTTAATGCCTTACACCTAGGGAGAACAATACAAACTAAATTACTGTTGTTAAATGCAATGCTTTGGCCACTAAAGAATACCTAGCATAATGTACAACCATGCTTCCAGTCAAATCCCCTCACTTTAGGGCCCCAAGGCTAAAAGAAAGTTCCCGCATTTATTCTCTAGTTTAAAATTTGCCCACTATTCCTTCAACATTTAAATAAATGGGGATGAGATAGGTCTCAGTAACCTCTTAGTCCTGCATCTTAGTAACCTCACCCTCAAAATCTTCAACACTATGCTTAAGTGCATCACATGCTCTTCCTCATTAACGGAGGAGTAGATCAAAATGTCATCTATATAGACTACTATAAATTTGTCTAAGTAGGGCCTAAAGATTCAATTCATATAATCTGTGAAGATAACTAGTGCATTAGTTATCCCAAAAGGTGAAATGACCTTCATCATTAACCCTAAAATAGCTCACTTAACTAACATTTTTTAAAGAAAGAATCCACCATGGCTTTAAACGTTGAAAACAATTATCATGTGACAACAAAAACTAGGATCCCAGAGAGTCATTAAAGATTAAAAGAAATACTTCTCTAAAGTAATATATATGAAAATATGTGGAAACATGAAAGTTTAAACATAGCATCGAGAAAGGAACAAAGAAGACAAAACAATCACTTTTGAAGACTGTGTTAGCTCGCCACACCTAAAGATGACTTTGCCACAATATTAACCTCTAGAAGTTCATGTTATTTCATGAAATTTTCCTTAGATTCTAATCCATTTTGGTTCAATTGTATATGTTTTTATTGCCTAAATTAGGAAAATGTGCATTTTGTTTTGGGGCTTGTGTTCTTAGCTTTAATTTGATATTTTTAACCTAATTTCATGTTATTTTGATTGAAGTTTTAATTAGAAGCATTTCTGGAGCTTTGTAGATGTTTTTAGAAGGTTTTTGGATGAAGAAATCAACAGCAAAATGAATTATTTTTGTTAGCTGTAAAAACAGTGCAAAACTGCTAAAGTCATCCCAAAGTTGTGACTTTCTTTTGTGACTTTCATCGCTGTCAGAAAAAACACTGTGTTTCATTTATCAGAAATTAGTTGGCTAGGACACATATAAGCTGAGAGCTTGACCCAGAATGGATTCTCGAGACTTTTAGACACACTTGGAGCTTGGTTGTAATAGGGTTTGGCATTGGAAGAGTTGGGATCAAGAGATTGAAGCTTTGAAGACATTTGGAGCTCCTCTTCTTTGGTTTTTCTATTCTTCTTCCCTTTCCTATCTTGTAATCTGAAATGGGTCCACTTATTTTATATATTTGTAGCTTGATGATGATTATGAGTGGCTAGACCCTTTGTTATAGGATTATTTGGAACCCTTGTATGGATTAACACTATATTCCTTCTCTCTTTTTGTGATTAATGATATATATGTATTTATTTTACTCTTTCCTTAATGCTTCGAACTGATTGGCCATCATTTAGATGTTGGGTTCACTTAATTGATGCTTGAGAGGGCTAGGTTGAGTGTAGAACTTGAGTAAAGTTGTGTAAGAACTTGATATTTACGTGTTGAATGGATAGTTTTGCTAGTAAGATAGAGATATACTTGCTAGCCTTGCATAGCCACATTAGGGTTGGTGTTTAAAATTGAATTTTATTAATTGTAACAAGAGATTGAGCAATTAATTTAACTAAACACTTGTTCATGACTTGAGAGAGTTTGTCTAAGTATTTTTAAAACCCTAGGTTAGCACTTATTTTTATTAAAAGCATTTATGAGAGGAGGTAATTTTGGTGTTATGAAATGCAAGGTGGATAAATAATCTTAGGTCCTAAATTGTATTTGAAGTTTGTAAATCACTCACTTTCTTTATTTTCTAATATTAGTTTCATTTACAAAATCATTTTTACCTAACTATGTGTAACTCAACTTGATCGAATTTGCTTAGTCTTTCGCTTGATCATTGTTTTTGAACAAATCCTCAAGGGAATGATACTTTACTTTCATTATATTACTTGCTACAACCTGTGCACTTATAGTGAGCAACAAGTTGTTGGCGCCGTTGCCGAGGACTTGGCATTGAAAATATTTTGATCAACCTTAGACTAGTGATAGTAGATTTTGATTGAGCTTTGTAGATATTAGTTCTAAATTTTTATTTTGTCTTTGTTTAGTATTTTTGTTTCAGTTTGATACTTCTTTGGTTATTTGCTTCTTCAGGTACCCATTTGGCATATGCAAGCCATAGGCCCAGAAGGATTGGAAGTGATACTTGAAGGATTGACAATCTTTGAAGAAGCTGAGTCTCCTAATTCTGAAAGAACTCCTGAAACTCAATTAGGAAACATGGCAGAAGACTAGTATGACACCACCTCAGTTAATGACTTTGCTAATCAGAATCTGAGGGGTACTCAATCTTGTATTCGAATGCCAGAGTTTCAAGCACATACTTTTGAGATCAAGTCTGCCATGATCATAATGCTTCAAATGAATGGTGTGTTTCATGGTTTATTCAATAAAGATGCTAACAAGTACTTGATGTCTTTTGTGGAAGTATGTGATTCTTTTAGACAAAACGGGGTGCCTAAAGATGTCCTGCGCTTGTGATTATTTCCAATTTCTCTACAAGACAAGGCTAAAGAATGGTTCAACAATCTTCTTGAAGGTTCTATTGGTTCATGGGAGGATCTTGAGAACAAGTTTAGAGCTTGATTCTTCTCTGATGATAAAATGATGGAAGCAAGAGATGAATTTCTTAGCTTTAAGCAATATCTAGATGAGCATCTCTATGCAGCTTGGGAGAGATATAAGATGTTAATGAAGAAATGCCCTAATCATGGGGTTGACAAATGGGTAGTGATTCAGATTTTCTGTAATCGTCTGAATCTATCTTCTAAGGCCATGGTTGATTCTATCACAAATGGGGGATATCGGAATGTGCCTGTCAATGAAGTTTTTCACCTCTTAGATCAATTATTTGCGAACAATACTCAAAACACGGATAGAAGGAATATATCAATGGTGACTAGTGCTAAAGATGATTCCTCTTCCTAGATTGTATCCATCTTGAATTCAATGAACAAGCATTTTGATATGTTGGAATCTTAAATGCAAAGGGGAAATTCTCATAATGTGCATGTTGTCCAAGCCATTCCAACTGTGTGCAATCAATGCAATGATATTCATATGCCCGATCAATGTCCTCTTTATATGACCACTGAGTCTGTCAACTATATGGGCAAGTTTTAAAACCCTTACAACAACCCTTACTCTCTAACATACAACTCAAGATGGAGGAATCATCCTAATTTTTCATGGAGTCAAGGGAATTCTTCAAATCAATCTTCATCTTTTAATGTTAAGCCAATTCACCCTCTGGGTTTTCAAGCTCCACTAAAGCCAATGTCGGTTAAGGAAGAGGAGTCTAGAATGGAAAAGATGTTAGCGCAAATCTTGAGTAATCAAGAGTCTACAAGAGTTGAAACTAAGGCAAATCTTACTCTTTATGATACTGCGATTAAGAATCTCGAAGTGCAAATGGGGGCTTCACAAATGAATGCTATGTCAAGAAGCAATCTCCCCAGTGACACAATTCTAAATCCTAAAAGGGATGGTAAGGAGGAGTGTAAAGCAATCACTTTGAGAAGTGGGATGCAATTACCTGAAGTTCTTATGCCAAGTGCAAGTGGTGTGAGTAGTGGTACTACTAAGGTGGTTGTTGATAATGAAGTGATTAATAAAGAAATTGTGGTTGAAGAGTGTGACAACTCAAAGAATAATCAAGAAGAGAAAAAGAATGAAGATCAAGCCAAAAGGGTTGGTGATGAGAAAAAGCAACAAGAAGCCAAGCCAAATATGTGCCTCCACCACCTTTTCCTCAAAGGCTTAGGAAGCAACAAGAAGATGGCCAATTCAAAAAGTTTCTTAATATGTTCAAATAATTGCATATCAACATTCCTTTTATGGAAGCTTTGGAGCAAATTCCCAAATATGCTAAGTTCATGAAAGATATTCTCTCTAAAAAGAGAAGGTTCAATGAGTTTGAGACGGTTGCTCTAACCAAGAGTTGTACGGATATCATTAAGCAACTACCTTAAATGTTGAAGGATCCCGGTAGCTTCTCAATTTCCTGTCATATTGGAAATAAGTTTTTGGGTAAGGCATTATGTGATCTTGGTACTAGTATCAATCTTATGCCTCTCTCTATTTTCAATAAATTAAAGTTGGGTGAAGCTAGACTAACAACTGTGAGTTTGCAATTAGCGGATAGAAGCTTGGCTTATCCACGTGGTGTTATTGAAAATGTTCTTGTAAAAGTGGATAAATTCATTTTTTCGGTTCATTTCATTATCCTTAATTGTGAGGTGGATCGTGATATTCCTATTATCTTAGAAAGACCATTCTTGACAACCGTTAGAACCTTGATTGATGTTGAAAAAGGTGAGCTTACTATGAGGGTGGATGATGAGCAAGCCACTTTTAGCATGTACAAGTTGATGAAATCTCCCAATGATCTTGAGTAATGCTTCTTTGTTGATATGCTTGATAAAGTTGCACAAGAAGAATTCAATGAGGTAATTCCTAATGATTTTTTGGAAGCCTTGTTGCTAGGAGCTCAATTAAAGACTCAAGATGGAGAAGAGTGTATAGCTATCATGAATGCATCACCGGTTTATCCTAGAAACCATGTCCAATTTGAATCTCTAGATTTATCTTCTCTTGGTAGACTATCTTTGAAATCCTCTATTGAAGAGCCACCATCTCTTGAGTTGAAGACATTACCTTCTCATCTTTGGTATGTCTATTTGGAAGCTAACAATACTTTGCCAGTGATTATTGCTGTGGACTTGAATGAACAACAAGAAGAGCAACTTATGGAAGTCTTGAAAGCTCACAAGAGAGCTATTGGGTAGACTATTGCTGACATAAAGGGTATTAGCACTTCAATTTACATGCATAAGATTTTCCTTGAAGACAATCATAAAACTTCTGTGGAACATCAAAGACGGTTGAATCCTATTATGAAGGAAGTTATGAACAAAGAGATCTTAAAATGGCTTGAGGCGGGCATTGTCTATCTTATCTCTGACAGCTTTTGGGTGAGCCTAGTTCAATGTGTTCTAAAAAAGGGAGGCATGACTGTAGTGGATAACACCCACAATGAGCTAATTCCTACCCATACTGTTACTGGGTGGAGAGTATGTATGGATTACCAGAAGCTAAATGTGGCTACTAGGAAAGATCACTTTCCTCTTCCCTTTATCGACCAAATGCTTGACAAATTAGCTGGAAGGGAATTCTTTTGCTTCCTTGATGGGTATTCAGGCTATAATCAAATTTCTATAACTCTAGAGGATTAAAAAAATGACATTTACATGTCCTTATGGAACTTTTGCTTTCAAGGGCATGCCTTTTAGGTTATGCAATGTACCGACCACTTTTCAAAAGTGTATGATGGCAATTTTCCCTGATATGATCGAGCAAACTATGGAAGTCTTCATGGATGACTTCACAGTTTTTGAGGATTCATATGATGAGTGCTTGATCAACTTGGCCAATGTGTTGAAAAGATGTGAAGAGACTAACTTGGTCTTGAATTAGGAAAAATGTTACTTCATGGTTAAGAAGGGCATAGTTCTTGGCCATAGAGTCTCCAAAAATGGCTTGGAGATAGATAGAGCTAAAATTTCAGTGATTGAGCAACTTCCTCCACCTACTAATGTTAAGAGTGTGAGAAGTTTTCTTGGCCATGCAGGATTTTATCGCCGCTTCATTAAAGACTTCTCCAAAATAGTCAAGCCTCTTTACACTCTTCTTGAGAAAGATGTTGAATTTAAATTGATGATTCATGCTTGAAAGCATTTGAAGAGTTGAAGAAAAGACTTATGTCTGTGCCTATCATGATGGCTCCTGATTGAAGTTTGCCTTTTATTGTGATGTGTGATGCTAGTGACTTTGCCGTGGGTGCTATGCTCAGGCAAAAGAAAGAAAAAGTACTTCACCTAATTTACTATGCTAGCAGAACACTCGATGATGCTTAAGAAAACTACACCACGGCTAAGAAAGAGCTTCTTGTAGTGGTGTTTACTTTTACCAAGTTTAGATCATATCTTGTGGGTACTAAGGTGATAGTTTACACTGACCATTCAACTTTAAAGTACCTATTCAGCAAGAATGAGTCTAAAGCAAGGTTAATTCAATGGGTACTACTTCTACAAAAATTTAACTTGGAAATTATTGATAGGAAGGGTACTGAGAATCAAGTGGCAGATATCTTTCTAGGTTGAGTACTGATGCCTAACTTAAATCTAATGTTATTATTGATGAAGCTTTTTCTGATGAGCAAATCTTTAAGATTGACAATATTCAAACACCGTGGTATGCAAACATTGTCAACTATCTTATTTGTAGTATCTTGCCCTTTGATTTGAAGTTTCATCAAAAGAAGAAGTTTCTCCATGATGTTAAGTTGTATTTTTGGGAAGAACCATATTTATTTTGCCAATGTTCTGACCAAATGATTAGAAAGTGTGTTCCTGAGTGTGAGCAACAAGAAATTCTAAGATGTTTCCATTCTTCTGACTATGGAGGCCACTTCAAGGTTGATAAGACAGCATCTAAAATCTTGCAAAGTAGTTTCTATTGGCCTTCTTTATTTAAGGGTGCATATGACTTTGTTTTAAAGTGTGATAGGTGCTAAAGGATAGGTAACATCTCTAGAAGGAATAAAATACCACTCAACAACATACTTGAAGTAAAATTATTTGATGTGTGGGGCATAGACTTCATAAGACCATTTCCCATGTCTTTCAACAATCAATATATCCTTGTTACTGTAGACTATGTCTTAAAATAGGTCAAAGCGGCAGCATTTCCCACTAATGATGCTAAAGTGGTGCTCAAATTCTTAAAGAAGCATATTTTCACCTGCTTTAGAGCACCAAGAGCCATTGTGAGTGATGGTGGTACTTATTTTTGCAACAACCAATTTCAATCTCTCTTAAAGAAATATAGTGTCAAGCAAAAAGTTACACTTGCCTACCATCCTCAAACCAACAAGCAAGATAAGATTTCTAATTAGGAAACTAAGAAGATACTTGAGAAGACGGTAGGAGTGGCAAGAAAAGACTGGTCCACCAAACTTGATGATGCACTGTAGGCTTATCGAACGGCTTATAAAACTTATATCGACATGTCTTCATACCGGTTAGTTTTCAGAAAAGCATGTCATCTACCCGTAGAGCTAGAACATGGTGCTTATTGGGCTATTCAAAAGCTCAACTTTGATTTTAAGGCCGTAGGTGAAAAGAGACTTCTCTAACTGAATGAACTTGATGAATTTTGGTTCAATGCCTATGAGAATACTAGGCAATACAAGGAGAAGACAAAAAGATGGCATGACAAAAAAATTTTCTGTAAAGCATTTGAGCCAGGCCAAAAAGTACTCTTGTACAACTCTAGATTGAGATTATTTCCTGGAAAACTCAAGTCTAGATGGTCAGGACCATTCAACGTGGTCCAAGCATTCCCTCATGTTGCTATTGAGCTAGAGAGCAGTGAAGGAGAAAGATTTAAAGTCAATGGACAACGAGTGAAGCATTACTGGGGTGGTGAGGTAGGCCGAGAAGAAATTACCTTACCCTTATCTGATGCCTCTTAAAGAAGAGAAGAGTCAGGCTGAATGACTATAAAACAAGCGCTACTTAGGAGGCAACCCAAGTTCTAAACCTTATCTTTTGATTTTTCTTTTGTAGTTTAGTTGTTTTGGTGAAGTTATGTGTGATCTTGTCTCTTTTATAAGTTAACAAGAAGATATGAAGAAGTATAAGCTTTTGGAGAAGCAAGAAATGTGGCCAAAGAACAAAAGAGCACAAAAGGAGGGAAAATTTCAGGGAAGTCAAGCTATTTAAGTTGTGTGTATGCTTATAAACTTGTCTTGGCAATTATTTTGAGCTTATTGAAGTAAATGCAATTTTTTGTGGTTTGATTTCCATGAAAAATGGTTCTTTTCGGGGATTGATTGCATTTAAATTGAAGGAAAATTGTGTATGGTTGATGAATGATGATTAAAGATTGATTTTGGAGTGAATATAGTGCTTGGAAGAGGTTTTAAGGGGTGAACAAATTAGATTTTTGAAAACAGATTGTTGCAGAAGTTTGCTTTCAATTTAGTTCTGACAAAAGTCACGACTTTGGGCTCATGACTTTAAGATTCCAGAGAAGGTCAAAGTCGTGACTTTTATTTCAAGCTTAAATCCAAAGTCATGACTTTCATCTCCTCTGGACCTGTTTGAAAAAAAAAAATAAAAAAAATATTCTCCCTTTCCTTTCCATTCCAGCATCTGTAACTGGTCTTATATAAAAAAATTGGTTCAGTATTTGAAAAGAATAAAAAAACCCTTAGCTCTCCTCAATATATCTCGCTCGAAACTTTGTCTCTCATCTCTCTCCACTGCCCTCTTTACTATGAATCGAATCTACAGCTCCCTCTACCGTTGTCGGCCTGCATCTGTGTCTATACTCACCTTCACCATCACCTCATACTTCACTTCATTTCCACCAGCACCCATAGCATACAAATCTCTTCTTGTTCTCTTCATCATTCTTCACCGGCAGTCACTATTTACTTCTCATACACTGTGCAGTCGCATCCCTTTCTTCCATTAACCATAATTTTTGTTCTAGCTCCTGTCACAGTTTTTATTTTATCGCCTTTCATCCCTGCTTCTCCTTCCTAAGCTTTAATCCTTGCTCTAGATCTGAATGCCAATGACCTTGAGTAGCTTAAATCTACTGTTCACCGTCGCGCCACAACTGTCACTTCTGTCTCTGCACTGATCTTGTGCAACCTAGTGAAATTTTTCCCTTCAATCTTCATCATCATTATTGCCTTTTATCTCTGTGCACTCTACCGTGTCCTCTCCTATCTCCACCGAATTGTTCAAGATTCAGGAACTTTGAATTTAGTTGTTGCCCAGCTACTGTTATGCTCACTTGTTGTTAAAAAAAAAGAGAACTCATTTCATTTTTAAAGCAAAGCTCTGATTATTGCTTTGGCTGGGTCTAAAATCACTCTTCTTGCCATGCTCTCACTGTTAGAGATTGTATTTTGAGGTACATTATTTTGTTGGTCTACTTTACCTTGCTTGTGTTTAGCTTAAACTCTCTAGCATTAACCTCTACAAGTATGTTTTTGCTACTAGAATTGATTTTGATTGAGCTGAGAACTTATGTGAATGTAATGCTGTTTTGATGATTTTTTATGTTACCTCACTCCTAATTGTGATGTTGAAGTTTAAAACATTATCTTGGAGCTTAAATTTTGTATTTTCTTTATTAGAGAGTTAGTCATGGATAGCTAGTCTTGGCAGTAAAAAGTGAAAACTATTTTGATAAAAATTTCATATTCGCAATGTGATCATTTGGTGTGAATGTTGGTAATATTTTCTTGATTTTGTTGAGAAGATACTTTCCTCTAAATGAAACTCTTATTTTGCAACTTTAAGTCTGCATTGGGAATGAAATGAATGTTATTGCTCAATAAATTCAGGATGCATTTATGAATGGGATTGGATTGAATCTGCTGCTAACTACTCTTTTAGTTTGAATTGAGACCATTGAAATTTTTTTTTTCATTTGGAATTTCAGGATATTTGAAGAACAATTTTTTACTATTTTAATGGTGCTCATTTCTCACCATTTTGAGTTTCTTGTTTTGATGATAATGGAATGATCTAAATTCTAGAATTTTATGCTAGCTGGCTATTTGAGAATTAGGGACTTGTATATGTGAAAATTTTGTTGATGCTCTCTTTGGTAACACATTTTGTTAAGATATTTATTTTCTTGCCTCTGGGTGGCTTGAAGTCTTAACAATGGGATCTAGAAAGTTGTTATGGGTTTAATTTTTAGTTTCAACTATTGTGCAAATTTTTGATTGCATTGTTTGATTGAGAAAATATGTTGGTTTAAATGAAACCTTGATTTTGTCACTTTATATTTGTCCTTGGGGATAAGAATGGATATTATTGGCATACTTATACAAGTTGAATTTACTAAGCATGAATGGGCTATATTTCTTTGGTTGAATGCTCTCATTATTAAACTTGAGCTTATGATTGTGACTTATGCTTAACACTCACTGTTATGCTTCTTAATTCTCGACTTGGCTTTTCTCTTCATAAGTTGCACCCTTACTTCAAATCTGTCATGTGGAAGCTAGACCTTGTTTAAACATGTTATGCAAAGTGCTATTTTGTGCTAGCTTCACTTAATCTTGTCTACTTAAGTTTGAACCTTTATTTTTACTTATGCTGGCTGTTGCTTAATGGTGTTGCATTGAGTACTTTCTTGTAGGAAATGGGCAAGAAAAGTATTCCACTTTCTAAAAAAGCTAAGGTCATTGAAGTTGGTGAAAGTTTTAAGGGATCGAGATGGGATAAAACCCGATTTGCCACTACTGCGATTCAAGATTATTTTGAGCAAAATTTGAAGGAGAGAAAAATAGTTCAAGAAAGACCTTTCCCTTTGAGATGGTCTGAACAATTTTACAATGATTTATATGATGTTTATCATGCTACTAGCCTCATCCGTGAACAGAGCCATGCCTCTCAGTTGCTTGTGGAAGCTTACTATGCCTATGCTGCTTGCAAGGATACCTTGCAATGTAAGGTACGGGGCAAATAGGTAGAGATCACTAAGGACACATTTTGAAAGGTGTACAACCTTTCTCCCATAGAAGAGTGCCAATATACCATTTACAAGAATGATAGAACTCAATTGCCATTTGATGATGTAGTCCGAGTGCTATACCTTCCTGACAAAAATATTTGGCAACATGACACCCATAGCAATCCCAAGAGTATTCTACACTGTAATCTGAACAGGACAACTCATATATGGTAGCACTTCTTGGCATCTAATGTGATCCCAATGACTCATATGAGTGATGTGACTGTTGATCAAGCTGCCCTGTTATATACCTTGATGATAAGGCAACCTATTGACTTTCCAAAAATCATGTTTGAGTACATGCACAAGTTGCCTAGAAGCAGATATTGCAAGCAGGCATTTGGGTTCCCACACTTGATTACTCAAGTGTGCTTAGAGAAGAAGGTTCCCACTTTTTGAAGGATCTCATGCTCCCTCCTTTACTAAAGTTCAATTATAGAGAAATTTGATGTGCTGAAGGACCAAGAGGGGTACCAGATCAAGCAGCAGATGGTCGAAGGCATATTAATCTACCTCATGCTGAGCCTACACTAAGCAACCTCATAGCACTTATCCAGAATATGCATGAGGGCCTCCAAAGCCAGCTGGATCGAATTGACTTTAGGCTCCATCACATTGAGCTATTCTTGCATCAAATATTTCAGATGTTGGCCAAGACTCAGACACTCACACTGACTAACTTCACCCTTCTTTACTTCACTGCCTTTTATTTCTATTTTTAATTCTAATTAGCTGTTGATTAGTTGTTTTTGGGTAAATATGGTTATCCATGATCTTTTGATATCCTTTATGCAGGCTAACTTTGATCTTTTTGTAGCTAATATATGATACCTTGACTAATCTCTTTGATAAATGATAATTTTATATATTTTTATTCTTTTAATTTAGACTTTTAAATATTTATTTAAGGCTAATTGAGTTTAATTAGATATTATTTGATTTTATTAGCTAATATTCAGTTTTGGAATTTTAACTAACTAAATCTTTGATTTTAAAATATAAATAATATCTTTAATATTTTTGCACAGGTGCTATTTAATTTTATTTTATTTGTGCAGATTTTCTAGATTCAATTTGAAAGATATTGATGAAGAATATTTTGGATAAGAAGAATATGGGCATGCTTGGAGATCAAATCAAGAATCAAATCTTTAAAATTTTATTTGAATTTATTTTGGATTATTTAGTGTAATTTTTAATTAGGGTTATTTAAGGTAGTTTTATCTTTTTAATAAACTATTAGTTTTTATTATAAAAGAAAGAAAGAGAGACGCAGGGGAGAGGGTCCACTTTTCATATATATATATATATATATGAATAGATGGGGGACACAGGGAGGAAGCACGATCTGGGAAAAAAAACGAAAGAAGGGAAACAGAGCAGCGATCGCCATTCGTCTTTCCTTCCTCCAATTTCTTGGGTGATGGCTTCTCAATTTTTCATTTCATGTTGTTTGATTTTTAATTCTATGGAGAGCTAATTTTTATTTTGTGTGATCAATCACAAACCATGATCCTAAATTTTAATCAGAGTCTTTAATATTCAGGGAAGATTTTATTTTAGCTTTATTCCAATTTTCTCTTCTCTCTCCTCAAAATTTTATGCTTTAATTACTATTACTGATTAGAGTAGCTTTATTGCATAATTTTTGAGTTATAAATTTTATCTGAGGTTTTAATTGCTATAATCGATTGATATAGCATTGTAAGAGTAATTTGGCTTGGCTTGGGTGATTATCCATGCTTTGTTTTTGGTGTGGCTATAAAACAATTGTTAGGTTGTGGGTTAAGGGAGATTTCAATTAATCTATAACTTAACTTCTTGTTTAATTCTTGAATGATAATTTGAGAAATATATAATGAAACCAGAATAATAAAGTTGAATAAAATTAATTTATTTTGTGGACGAGGAAGGTTAAATTTAGGTGATTGGGTTGTGATTGATTGCGCTGCTTATTCTCGGTAATTTTCTTAGTTGAATTTCCTCTATTTATTTATTTATAATTTAGTTTTTAATTTCATCAAAAAAAACCCCCCCATTATTTACCTTTTCATAATCATAATTTAAATAGTTACTCTATTGACTCTTAGGGAGACGACCTAGGTTGCACTTTACTGCAAAATCTAGTTTTTATTAATTTTGGTGCTATTCGACAGTAGTGTCAAAATTTTGGCGCCGTTGCCGGGGAGTCAAAGGTGTTAACTTTTTGAGTTTGGTTATTAGTTTTTTTTTTCTTTCTCATTATTTTTATTTTTTTTATTTTTTTTCTCTAGTATTTTTTTATTTTTTTCAAGATTTATTATTATTTTTTGTCTTTACTTGTTTTAGGTGTTTTTCATTGTTTTTCCAATTTATTAGTGCATGACAAGATCTTTACAAGATAAATTAATTGATTTGAACTCTGAGATTGAGAGAACTTGTCGTACTAACCGTAAGAATCAAAAGCACCGTAAAATTAGGGATAGTGTGATCTCTGAAATTTTGTCTGAATTGATTGATAGCATTATTAGTGATTCTAAATCTGACTTAGACTCTACAGTTAAATTGAAAAACATGGCTAAAATAATAATGGTAATAGGACAATTAAAGAATTAGCTGCGCCTAATGCACACTATCAAAATTTGTGCATTCAATATCCTAATTTAGATGCAAATGCTAGTTTTGAATTGAAATCTGGTTTAGTACATTTGCTACCTAAATTTCATGGTCTTGCAGGAGAGGACCCGAATAGGCACTTGAAGGAATTTCATATTGTGTGCTCCACCATGAAGCCTCAAGGAGTTTTAGAAGAACAAATCAAATTGAGGGCTTTTCCTTTTTCATTGGATGGAGTGGCAAAAGATTGGTTATATTACTTGCAACCAGGTGCCATTACCTCTTGGGATCAAATGACACAGTTATTCTTAGAAAAATTCTTCCCTGCCTCTCGCACAGCAACAATTAAAAAGGATATTTGTGGGATTCGTCAGATGACTGGGGAGACATTTCATGAATATTGGGAGAGATTTAAGAAATTATGTGCCAGCTGCCCTCACCATCAAATACCTGATCAGCAGCTGGTTCAACATTTTTATGAAGGTCTCTTACCAACAGATAGGTGGTTTGTTGATGCCGCAGCTGGTGTTGCTTTGGTAGAACTTACTCCAACTGATGCCATGAATCTCATTTCTAAGATGGCACAAAATTCTCAACAATTTGGGACACGAGCTAACCAAGCAGTTAAGGGGGTGAATGAGATTCCAACACCACAATATGATCCTAAATTTGAGAACAAGATGGAGGAGGTCTCTAGCATGGTTCGGCACATTGCCTTAACACAACAAAAATTAATGAATTCACCAGCAGTGCCAACTTTTCCACAGGCGTATCCCTCACAGACGTGTGCACAACCTCAATTTTATAATCCTCAGCAAGCTACCACATCTTCTGCTTTAGTTGGGCCTCTATGTGGCATCTGTTTTTTGGCCACACACACTACTGATCAATGCCCACAGTTGGATGATAGAGTTGAGAATTGTGCTGGGATTTTTCCAACTAGACCTATGCAACAGGGCCAAAAATATGATCCTTTCTCTAACACTTATAATCCAGGGTGGAGAGATCACCCTAATTTCAGATATGGAGGAAGCCAACAACAACAATATAATGCTACAGGTCAAAATTCACAGCCTATGCAACCAATGAGGCAATCTACTCCTATTTCAGGGTCTAAAAATGATGGACCAAGTCTAGAAGAGTTAATGAAGCAAATGGCAACTAATAACATTCAATTTCAACAACGCACTGAGACAGTAATCCAAAAATTGGAGAATCAAATTGGGCAGTTGTCCACCTCCGTTAATGAATTGAAGAGTCAAGGTTCTGGAAAGTTGCCTTCTCAAACAGTTGTAAATCCTAATTGTAGTAATGTTAGTGCTATCACTCTTAGAAGTGGAAAGGAGCTTCCAGAGCCCTCCACAACATCTATCAAGAATAAGTCGGCTGCAGCAACACAAGTCACACTTGAGGAGGCTAATGAAGAAAAGGAACCAAGAAAGATCCTTCCATTTCCAAATAGGGAGACTCAAAGCAAGAAGTTAAAGGAAGCTGAATTGGAGAAAGAAGTGCTTGATGTTTTCAAGAAGGTTGAAGTCAATATTCCCCTTTTGGAGGCAGTAAAGCAAATTCCTAAATATGCAAAGTTCTTGAAAGACCTATGCACGAACAAGAGAAGATTTAAAGCTAACGAGAAGGTCAATCTAGGAAGAAGTGTATCAGCTTTATTTCATGAGGAATGCAATGCCAACCCCCTATGCCCTTAAAATGCAAAGATCCAGGGAGTTTCACTATACCCTGTACTATAGGAAATTTAGAATTTTCTAACGCTTTGATTGATCTTGGTGCAGCGATAAATGTTATGCCCAAGTCTCTATTTTCTTCTTTGCAGGGTTGTGAGATGAAGCCAGCCGGGATTATTGTCCAATTAGCAGACAGGAGACTTGCCTATCCTAATGGTATGCTTGAAGACATTCTAGTTAAGGTAAAAGATTTAGTCTTTCCTGCTGATTTTTATATTTTGGATATGGGTAAAGATGATAGTCATGGGCCACCACCACTGATTTTGGGTAGGCCATTTCTTAAGACAGCTAATACTATCATTAATGTTAAAGATAGTACTCTTTCCATGGAATTTGCAGGACGTGTTGTTCAATTTAATCTTTTAGAGGCTATGAAACATCCTATAGAGGATCATTCTGTTATTAATGTGAGCATGCTTGATATGTTAATTGATGATACATATGATGAGCTTTACAATGAGATGGTTTCTAGTTCTCTTGAGATTGTTGATTTAGATAGCAATACACATTGTTCTGACTCTATTATTTATGAAGATTCTTCTGACTGTTCTGGTTCTGATGATATTGTTGAGTTATTCAAATCCATGCATGATATTGGCATTGAAACTTCTAGTGACTCTGATATGATTGCTTCTGACTCTGAAAGAACTATAGACTTTGCTATCAACTCTATGTCATGTAATTCTATTAATAATGATAATTCTAGTATTCTAGAACAAGATACTGCTGCTTCTTTTGATGGAATGCAGGTTTGTGGAGTTGATGAGCTAACTATCGACAAGCTAGTTCTATTCAGCAGCCACCTATACTTGAATTGAAAGATCTACCAGAACATTTGAAATATGCATTCTTAGATGAAGGTAAGAAATTACCGATTATTATAGCAAAGGATTCTGATCCTTGCCAAGAGGTAAAATTGTTAGAGGTACTGAGAAAGCACAAGAAAGCTATAGGATGGACACTAGCTGACATTCCAGGCATCAGTCCAGATATATGCATGCATAGGATCTTAATGGAAGACGGTGCAAAGCCATGTAGGCAACCTCAAAGGAGGCTTAACCCACTTATCATTGATGTGGTCAAAAAGGAGGTAACAAAACTTCTTTCTGCAGGTATCATTTACCCTATTTCTGACAGCCAGTGGGTGAGTCCAGTACAGGTAGTGCCAAAGAAGAGCGGGATCACAGTTGTAAAGAATGAAAAGAACGAGTTGATTCCTATGAGAGTGCAAAATAGCTGGAGGATGTGCATCGACTACAGGAAGCTAAATGATGCAACCAGGAAGGATCACTTCCCTTTACCTTTTATTGATCAAATGCTAGAGAAATTAGCAGGCAAATCTCACTACTGTTTTCTAGATGGTTTTTCAGGTTATTTTCAGATTTGCATAGCTCCAGAGGACCAAGAGAAGACAACATTCACATGTCCATTTGGCACATTTGCTTATAGGAGGATGCCATTTGGATTATGCAATGCCCCAGCCACATTCCAGAGATGCATGATGAGTATTTTTGCAGATTTGCTAGACTATTGCATAGAGGTTTTTATGGATGATTTTACTGTATATGGAGATTCATTTGATGAGTGTCTAGTAAATTTAGATAAAGTACTTGAGCGATGTATTGAGAAAAATCTTGTATTAAACTTTGAAAAGTGTCATTTCATGGTTAGACAAGGTATTGTATTGGGTCATGTTGTTTCTGAGAGGGGGATAGAAGTTGATAAGGCTAAGGTAGATGTGATTACTTCTTTACCTTATCCTACTAGTGTTAGAGAGGTCCGTTCTTTCCTTGGACATGCAGGATTTTACAGGAGGTTTATACAGGATTTTAGCAAGATAGCCTTACCACTCTCAAGATTGCTGCAGAAAGATGTGGATTTCAAATTTGATAAAACTTGTGAGCAAGCATTTGATGAGTTAAAGAAGAGATTGACCACTCCACCAATCATTCAACCGCCAAATTGGGATTTACCTTTTGAATTATTATGTGATGCTTCTAATTATGCTCTTGGCGCAGTACTTTCACAAAAAGTTGATAAGAAATCACATGTCATAGCTTATGCTTCCAGAACTTTAGATGCAGCCCAAGCCAACTATACTACCACTGAAAAGGAGCTTTTAGCTATTGTTTTTGCATTAGATAAGTTTAGATCATATCTTTTGAATGCAAAAGTTGTTGTGTTTTCTGATCATGCAGCATTAAAGTATCTCTTAAGGAAGCCAAATGCAAAGCCACGATTAGTCAATGGATGCTCTTGCTACAGGAGTTTAACTTAGAGATAAAGGATAAGAGTGGAGCTGAGAATTCTGTCGCAGACCATTTGAGTCGCATTGAATCTCCTATGGTTCCTTCTATTCCTATTGATGATAATTTTCCTGATGAATGCTTATATGCTATGCATGATGTTACTCCTTGGTATGCTGACTTAGTTAATTACTTAGCTGCCTCTGCATTGCCTGTGCATTTAAAGAAACATCAATTAGATAAGTTCAAGAGGGAAGCTAGATATTACATATGGGATGATCCATACCTTTGGCGCATATGTAGTGACCAGATTATTAGGAGATGTATTCCTGACATTGAGTTTGAATCCATATTGCATTTTTGTCACACACTTGCTTGTGGAGGACACTTTGGTCCACAACGCACTGCTAGAAAGGTTCTTGATTCTGGATTGTACTGGCCTACTCTATTTCGTGATGCATATACATTTTGTAAGCATTGTGCTAGATGTCAGCATACAGGAAATATCTCCCGTAGAAATGAGATGCCTCAACAACCTTTACTTTTCTGTGAAATATTTGATGTATGGGGTATTGATTTCATGGGACCTTTTCCTGTTTCATTTGGATTTGCTTACATTTTACTAGCTGTGGATTATGTTTCTAAGTGGGTGGAAGCTAAAGCCACCAGAACTGATGACTCTATTGCTGTTGTAGATTTTGTTAGATCACATATCTTTTGCAGGTTTGGTATTCCAAAGGCCATTATCAGTGACCAAGGGACCCATTTTCGTAATCGGAGCATGCAGAGTTTATTGGGTAAGTATGGGGTCGTGCATAAGATGGCTACCCCTTATCACCCCCAAACTAATGGGCAAGCTGAAGTCTCGAATCGAGAGATAAAGCAGATTCTTGAAAAAACAGTGCAACCTAATAGGAAAGACTGGAGTAAGAGACTTGATGATGCATTGTGGGCATACAGAACTGCCTACAAGACTCCAATCGGAATGTCTCCTTATCGGCTTGTTTTTGGGAAAGCTTGTCACTTACCTGTGGAGATTGAGCATAAAGCTTATTGGGCAGTAAAGCAGTGCAATATGGATTTAACTAAAGCAGGAGCCCAAAGAAAATATCAATTGCAAGAGCTTGAAGAATTTCGCTTGGAAGCATATGAAAATTCAAGAATCTACAAGGAAAAGACCAAGTTAATACATGATAAGCTGATAGTTAGAAAAGAGTTCAAGGTGGGACAAAAAGTGTTACTCTATAATGCCAGATTGAAACTTATGCCAGGAAAACTTCGTTCTAGATGGGAAGGTCCTTTTATAGTTACTAAAGTGTTTTCTTATGGTGGAGTAGAGATTATGGCAGAATCTACTGGAGCAAAGTTTAAAGTTAACGGGCATCGGTTAAAGCATTTTTATGATGGATTTGAGACACACATTGTGGAGGAGTCTTCCCTCCAAGATAACACTTAATCGATCAGGTTGTATCATTTCTCTTCACTTTTAATTTACATTTTCCTATACATCTTTCGAACTATGTTCTACATTGAGGACATTGTAGATTTTAAGTGTGGGGGGAGGTTTTTTGCTGTTTCTAATTTTTTTTCTTGTTTTCATTTTTTTTATTTTTGTGTTCTTGTTTTCAAAAAAAAAATAAAAAAAAATAATTTGTGCGAAGTTGCAAATTTAAGACAATTTTAGTTTGAATGCATTTGAGCATGATAAGTAATTGATCTTATGTTTAGAATTTAAGTTAAGTGGCATGAGTTTGGTTTCAATGAATTAATGTGATAGCCTTTAGCTTGTAAAGATTTGAGCCTAATATTATTCTCTTTTTGTGTGTATTCTGCTATCACTACTCCCACTCTAGAACTTGTCTTGATTCTTAGTTGAGACTATAATTGCATATGCTTTGCATGAAGATGATTTAGGCATTCTTTTTTTAGCCTACTTAGCCAAATAGCCATCCCATGCAATTTATCCCTTGTTAGCCCCTTTGAGCCTAAACCTTTTCTTTAAAATTTTAGCCAATTGAAAACATAACCTATAAAAATATTTTTCTTTCATTCTTCTCACCCCACTTTAGGTGATGAAAAGTGTATTATAATATTTGTTGGAATGAAAGAATATGCTTGAAGAGAGATTTGGGTTATTTTGAAAAAAAAAACGAGAGAAAAAAAAAAGCAAAGAAAGAAAGAAGAAAAGAAAAGAAAAGAAAAGAAAAGAAGAGCATAAAAGTCATAACGCAAAAAAAAAGGTGCATGAAGCAAAGGAAAGGAAAACAAAATAAAGAGAGAAAAATAAACCCAAATCAATTTATTTTGTTTCTTTCATTCTATATATTTCGTTTCAAATATACTTTTCATTATCCTAAAGTTTATTAACCTTCATTTTCCTATATCATACCTTTACCTAAGCCCCATTACAACCTAAACTAAAGTCCTATTGATTCTTACATTGCATATGACATAAATAGTGGAGACCTAGATGATAAACAAGCCTATGGTAGTGAGGTTTTAATAGGGGAACTTGAGTGAAACACTTACCTATATACATTTGAGAGTTGAGAGTTAAACACTTGACCTTTGTGAGGGGCTATTGCTTAATTTATTCTTACCAAATGAAATTGCCATGATACTTGTTATTCTCAATATAAGAGATATTGATTAAAGTGTTAAAATGTTGAAGAGCTATAATTATTTCTTATTCTTTGTTGCTTCCACAGTTCTTTTCTTGAATTTTGAGATTTAAGTTTTGCCCAGGAGTGCAAAAGTCTAAGTGTGGGGGAATTGATAAATGATAATTTTATATATTTTTATTCTTTTAATTTAGACTTTTAAATATTTATTTAAGGCTAATTGAGTTTAATTAGATATTATTTGATTTTATTAGCTAATATTCAGTTTTGGAATTTTAACTAACTAAATCTTTGATTTTAAAATATAAATAATATCTTTAATATTTTTGCACAGGTGCTATTTAATTTTATTTTATTTGTGCAGATTTTCTAGATTCAATTTGAAAGATATTGATGAAGAATATTTTGGATAAGAAGAATATGGGCATGCTTGGAGATCAAATCAAGAATCAAATCTTTAAAATTTTATTTGAATTTATTTTGGATTATTTAGTGTAATTTTTAATTAGGGTCCAGTCTACTTTATATATAATATATATATATATATATAATAGATGATGGGGACGGAGAGGAAGCACGATCTGGGAAAAAAAACGAAAGAAGGGAAACAGAGCAGCGATCGCCATTCGTCTTTCCTTCTTCCAATTTCTTGGGTGATGGCTTCTCAATTTTTCATTTCATGTTGTTTGATTTTTAATTCTATGGAGAGCTAATTTTTTTTTGGTGTGATCAATCACAAACCATGATCCTAAATTTTAATCAGAGTCTTTAATATTCAGGAAGATTTTATTTTAGCTTTATTCCAATTTTCTCTTCTTCTCTCTACCTCTAAATTTTATGCTTTAATTACTATTACTGATTAGAGTAGCTTTATTGCATAATTTTTGAGTTATAAATTTTATCTGAGGTTTTAATTGCTATAATCGATTGATATAGCATTGTAAGAGTAATTTGGCTTGGCTTGGGTGATTATCCATGCTTTGTTTTGGTGTGGCTATAAAACAATTGTTAGGTTGTGGGTTAAAGGAGATTTCAATTCTATAACTTAACTTCTTGTTTAATTCTTGAATGATAATTTGAGAAATATATAATGAAACCAGAATAATAAAGTTGAATAAAATTAATTTATTTTGTGGACGAGGAAGGTTAAATTTAGGTGATTGGGTTGTGATTGATTGCGCTGCTTGTTCCGGTAATTTTCTTAATTGAATTTCCTCTATTTATTTATTTATAATTTAGTTTTTAATTTCATCAAAAAAAACCCCCCATTATTTACCTTTTCATAATCATAATTTAAATAGTTACTCTATTGACTCTTAGGGAGACGACCTAGGTTGCACTTTACTGCAAAATCTAGTTTTTATTAATTTTGGTGCTATTCGACAGTAGTGTCAACTCTTGCAACAAATTACTTACTCTATATAACTGATGTACATGTTGGTGTAGTTAGTTTTGTATTTTAGGCTGCCTGTGGATAGATCTCAATTATACTGTTACAGGTTTCTAAAATTTTTTTGTGCTCTCAGTGCACCTTCTTTTTGGTTGTTAAGTTGTATGAGAGAGGGCCCTTATTTTAAACCTTTTTGACAGTTGGAACACTATTCAATTTAAGTTTGGGGGGTAAAGGTATCATTTTTGTTGATTTAACATGAACTTCAAATTTTGAAACTTAGCTATTTACTATTCCTCTTTTCTGAAAATTAAGCTAGATTGAGAAATTATTTGTTGAACAGAATGCATGATCCAATGATAGAATGTTGCTTAAACTGTATGTTTTATAGGAAGTTGTGATCAATATTTTGGAAGCTAGATTTGTAGGGTTTAAAGCATGCTTTCTAGTAATTTGTGAAATTTTCTTTTGCACTTTTAAATCAGACAATGATTTGAATGTCTCTATTAGGAATTTTTTTGTGGCAAGTTTATGTGCATTTTCTTTCTCGATTGAGAACTCTAGAAACTATCTTGAAATCTCTTGAGGCATTTTAATCCTTTTGCATGATATTAAAATAATGATTTGGGCATTCTTTCAAATGCGTTTGACCCTTTCAAGCCTACTTATTACTCATTTCCACTTGAACCCCCTTTTGAGCCTGGAATTGAAAATCTTATGTATTTTCTTTTTGACTTACATTAGACCCTAGCCTTTACAACTTGAAAAACCATGAACTACCTTACTCTTAAGGTAAGTGATTAAAAAAAATGTGTGTACTAGTAGGGAAGATTGGTTTAGTTATTCAAGGAGGTGTTGTTGTTTTAAATTTGGGTGTAAGGAATGGCAATGAACGTTTGGATTCTACTAATTGTGCTCCTAAAAAAAGTATAAAAAAATAGAAATATACATGAAAAAAAAATTGCAATGAAAAAAAAAAGAAGAGTTTCAATATCAATAAATTTGGAGTACAAGGAATGGTATTTGAGATAAGTTTGGGGGAAAGTATTTGCTAGCAAGGATGGAATGGTTTGCTTCTCATTGTCATTTATCTCAAGTTCTTTGAATTCCATTTATCCTTCATTTCAATAAGCCCAAAACCTTTGGCCACGCTACAAGCTTACAAGTTCCCATTGATTTTGAATTATGTGAAGTGATCTTTTTAGTGGAAGAGAAAGAAGTTTTGGCATATGAAGTCTTGATATTGAGCTTGTTCCATGCATATTGAGTTGTTACATTTTAACTTGATAGTTTTGGGAAAATCATTCTCGGGTCACACACACACAACACATTTCTAAATTATTGGAAAGTATGATCTTAATCTGTGACTTGGACATTCTTTTTATATTTCATTGCTATCCTCTTTAACATATATTTGGAATAACTAGTAAGGATATTTTCATGCATGCTTAGAAGATGATAATTAGTCAATCTAGTTGTTTTATTACTTGTTTTACTCAAGGACGAGTAAAAATCTAAGTTTGGGGGTGTGTTAACCTCTAGAAGTTCATGTTATTTCATCACATTTCCTTAGATTCTAATTTTAGTCCCTGCATCTTAGTAACCTCACCCTCAAAATCTTTAACACTATGCTTAAGTGCTTCATATGCTCTTCCTCATCAACGGAGTAGATCAAAATGTCATCTATACAGACTACTATAAATTTGTCTAAGTAGGGCCTAAAGATTCAATTCATATAATCTGTGAAGATAGCTAGTGCATTAGTTTTATCCCAAAAGGTGAAATGACCTTCATCATTAACCCTAAAATAGCTCACTTAACTAATATTTTTTAAGAAAGAATCCACCATGGCTTTAACGTTGAAAACAATTATCATGTGACAACAAAAACTAGGATCCTAAAGAGTCATTAAAGATTAAAAGAAATACTTCTCTAAAGTCATATATTGAAAATATGTGGAAACATGAAAGTTTAAACATAGCATCGAGAAAGGAACAAAAAGGACAAAACAATCACTTTTGAAGACTGTGTTGGCTTGCCACACCTAAGGATGCCTTTACCACAATGTTAACCTCTAGAAGTTCATGTTATTTCATGACATTTTCCTTGAGATTCTAATCTATTTTGTTCAATTGTATATGTTTTTATTGCCTAAATTAAGAAAATGTGCATTTTGTTTTGGGCTTGTGTTCTTGGCTTTAATTTGATATTTTAGCCTAATTCATGTTTTTTGATTGACGTTTTGATTAGAAGCATTTCTGGAGCTTTGTGGATGTTTTTGGAAGGCTTTTGGATGAAGAAATCAACAGCAAAATGAATGATTTTTGTTAGCTGTAAAAATAGACAAAAAAACTACCAAAGTCATCCCAAAGTCATGACTTTCTTTCGTGACTTTCATCGTTGTCAGAAAAACACTGTGTTTTATTTATCAGAAATTAGTTGGCT